TTCATGAGCTGTATTGCCACAGAGTAAACGCCACCGTTGTACACTCTTGAGGCTCATGACCTAAGCTGCCAGTCCTTGGCACTGTCTTGAAACCAGACCCAGTGCAAGAGTGTGGTCCATTTTGGTGGCTGGTGGTCACAGCAGATCCATTCTTAAGGTGTCACCATCATTCCACCATGCTCGTGGGTGGCTGTAATAACAGAGCCAAAGCCCCAGACAAAGGCTGAGACAGAACATTCAGACCCATGAGGTGCTCCATTCCCCAAGAACAGGCAGATGAGCACAGAGGAGAAGCCAACATGAAGCCCATGGTCCCCCATACCCACATGCACCTATGCTTGGCCCAGCAGCCAGCCAGATGGCAGCCCCCACCAGTGGAGAGCCCCATAGCTACCAGCCTGCCAGCCATCCAGGCAGCAACCCCAATCCCAGCAAAACTACCACCTCACCATAGTCACAAGCACCTGTAGTCTAGGTCACCAGCACAACCATTGACATGGCTGACAAGGATTACAGCTGAGAAACTGCAGGGAACACACTACAGAATCTTTCCAGAATCAAAGCTAATATAACCACACCCTGCCGACAGCCTAGCACCCCTCACAGGAAATAGCCTCTCCTAAAAAAGTTTCAAAAGCCCATGAAGTTGGAAAAGATGCCTGTTGCGTGAGATGTGCACATATAACACAAAGACACAAACATGAGAAAACAAGGAAATATGGAACCCTCAAGAGTATGCAGTGATTCTCTATTATTAGGAAATTTATAAAATGTTTGAAAAGTTAATGATATGAGGGATGTTGAGTGAGACACAAAATACAATTCATAATATGAAAGAAATTCAACAGAAAGGGTACCGCTGTGCTCGCTTCGGCAGCACATATACTAAAAAGGCTACCACTAAAAAACCCAGAGATCTCTTCAGTTGTACTGGAGCACACCTGTAATCCCAACACTCTGGGAGGCTAAGCATATTTAACAATAGCTAAAAATTTCCCAAGTCTTGGGAGGTATGGATGTATAGATCATGAAACTCAACTCCATTTAGGTTCAACCCAAAGAAGTTGTTGTCTCCAAGGCATATTATAATTAAGGTAACAAAGACAAAGAATTGTGAACATAGCGAGAGAAAAATGACATCAAGTGAAGGAATCTCCATTGGACTAATGGCAGATTTCTCAACAAAATTTGCAAGCCAGGAAAGAATAGGATGGTATATTCAAGAACGTTGAAAGAAAACAAAACAAGATAAAAACTGCCAACCAAGAATTCTGTACCCAGTAAAGCTGTCCTTCAGAACTGAAGGGGAAATGGTGCCTTTTCAGATATGTGAAAACTGAAGGCACTCATTACTAAGGAAATGCATAAGTGCCGGGGATTTAGCTCAGTGGTCGCGCCGCCTGCCTCAAAAGTGCAAGGACGTGAGTTCAATCCCTGGTACCAAAAAAAAAAAAGGAAATGCTTAAAAGAACACTACCTGTATTAAACCACAGAATTATAAAACTCACTACTTCGAATAGACACACAAGAAAGAGAAAGGAATTACACCTGTGACTATGGAAAACCACTCAGCCACAAAGATTAACAGCGAGCAAGGAGAAAACAAAGGCTATACAGAGGGAAAAACATTTAACAAATGACAGGTGTGGCTTGTTACTAGCAGAGGTAACTTTGTGAACAGTTGAAAATCTCCAATTAAAAAATTTAGATAAACTGAATGGATTTAAGAGACTAGTTTTTTAGTAGATCCAATCATATGTTGCCTACAAGAAATTCGTTTCACTAACAATACACACGTAAAGACAAAGTGAGGGATAGAATAAGCAAATTTTAAGTGAACAGAAATAGCTATGCTCACATCAGATGAACAGAAATTAATTTATAATTACAAAAAATGTGGGCTGGGGATGTAGCTCCCTGGCACTGCAGCTGCCTGGTAAGTGCAAAGTCCTGAGTTCGATCCTCAATACCAAAAAAAATAAAAATAAATTAAATAGGGATGAAAGAACTCTACAATGAAAATCATAAAATGCTGATGAATAAAATGGAGAAGATATGAAAAGGTGGAAAGATATCATATATTCATTAATTGGATGAGTTGAAATTGTTAAAATGAACATAATACCCAAAACTGTCTACAGAGTCAGTGCTGTCTATCGTAATGGCGGTGACTGTTCACAGAAATGGGAAAACACTCCTAAAATTTTTATGGACCCACAAAAGACCCCAATAACCAAAGCAGTACTGAGCAGAATAAAATGGAAGGCCTCACAATCCCTGACTTCAACACGTTCTGCACGGCAACAGGGACCCAGCATGGTAGTAGGGCGGAGCAGGCAACCCAGCAGTAAACCACATCTAGCCAGACGTGCAGTGGGGACGAGAGTGTCGTGGTAAATGACGCTGGGAAACAGGACGCCCATGTGTGCAAGAGTACAGAATATTCAAAAGCCAACTCACAGTGAGTCCAAGCCTTCAATGTAAGACCCAAACTAGAAAACAAAAAGGAACGAGAAATTCTTTAGGACATTGGTCTGGGCCAAAGATTGTTTTGTATGATCCTCAAAAACGAGCAACAGAAGCAAAACTTGACACGTGAGATTACATTCAGCTACAAAGCTCTGCACAGAAAGTAAACCACAGAGTAAAGAGACAACCTACAGAATAGAAAATAATTGCAAACTTCATCTGGCAAGGGATTAGTAGGCAGAAGAAACTACATTCCACAGCAAAATAACAAATCATTAAAAATGTGCAAATGGTCTGAGTAGACATTTCTCAAAAGGAGATAAATGGCCAAGAATATGAAAAAATGCTTAACATTACTAATCATGGGGAAATAGAAGTCCAAACCACAATGAGATTCATCATACCCCAAGTACAATAGCTGTTACCAAAAGGACAAAACAGTGATGACAAGGTTATGGAGAAAAGAGGACTGTCATGCACTGTTGGCTGGAGTGTGTATTAGTGTAGCCATCATGGGAAACAGAATGGAGTTCAAAATATGAGTTCAGTCTACATTCCCATCAATACAGATGAGTGGATAAAGAAAATGTATCTATACAGTGGAATATTATTCAGCCATTAAAAAGAATGAAAAAATCCTGTCATTGTGACACCATGGATGGAACTGGATGATGATGTGTACTGTGTTAACACATCCCCACTGGCTTCATCCACTGGTGGTACATACATGACCATGATGTTCCACTGGTCTTCATCTTTGTTTCTACTTAGCTTTATGGCTAATTCTTATTTACTGCCTACAAACTTTTGTCTTATTTTATACTCTTTGATCCATCTGTGGCTTTCACACTACCACTTTAATGCTAGTAACTTAGAAATCCATGTCTCCAGCCCTGACCTCCGTTACATTTCCGACCAATATGTCCAGTCCTATCTTCTGACCTCCGTGTTCTGTGGCCATCTCGTAATCAACATGCCCAGGAATTTTAGTTTTAACTTACCAACAAAGTCCTGAGTTAAGACCCAAATGCCAGCCACTGTGCTTCCAGATGGTCTCAGATACAGATTTAACTCTTACAGAATTCTGGAAGGAACCTCAAGTCCTTTCCTGTGTGGGGTTAATTGAGAAATCCTGGGCCAGTGTCTCTAAGGACACTGAGATCTGCCTGTGTACAGGAGAGAGGCTCTGAGGGCTGTGTAGAGGACCCTGAGCCTTCATTGATTGACCACCTTGAGTTACAACCAGCCTTTGTGAACGAGTTGAGTTCGTAAGTCAAGGGTCCACTGTACTAGGGCTCCCATCCATGCGATTGCCCAAGTGAGGAAACTGACGCTACCCGGTTTTTCTCCTCCCTCCCATATTTTTTTCATATCCCATCAAATCCCCAAATCCTGTTGGCTCCAAATCCTACCAAATCACAGCCACTTACAGCCTCTCGGCAGGGTCATCTCTAGGCTGGGCCTCGGCCTCTGGGCTCATTGCTGTCAGGCTGTGCTGCCTCCCCAAGTGGTCTGAAGTGTCACTTGGGGCCCACTGTGTCTCTGCCAAGCCTTCTCTGGTTCCCTTTGGCTGTGGAGGCATTTTTCTCCCATGTTCCCTCTATACTTGTATTTGTCTGCGGTATCACAATTGATCATACAGTGTTAGAATTGTTTACCTGCTGATATTTCCTTAGAGAATTCTGCAGTGCAAAGAATGTGCTTTTCATTTGGTATTCCCCATTTGTTCACTGATTAAGATAGTCTTAGGTATCTTTTCCAGGCTACAAGTGTGCTACTGAATAATACAGCTTTATAGTATTTTATTTCAGTTTGGTAATGCCGAAGAGGACTGTGCTGCTTGAGGAAAAATATGACACAGGTTGTGGTAACTCCATTTGCGATTCTCTCTTTTAGCATTAATCAAGTCTGACCTAAGAAGACACAACATAAATCTAGGCATCACAAATGCTGAAATTAAAGCTGTAAGTAACATTTGCTTTTATGACTGTTCTGAGAAAAGTACACATGGAGTAAATGTGAAGCCATTCTTATTTATCAGCGTTTTCTTTCAGAGTCAGCTGTTGATCTGCTAAAATAGCGTATGCAGGCACAGTACAATTATTATACTCTGCTTCTCTCTGCAGGTGCCCGTTGAAAGCCCCACAGATCAGAAGCCAAAAGTTGCCACATTATCCGTCCAGTCAGAGTCATCAATCTGAAGTGGAAGGGAAAGTTACTGTCCCTCGGTCAGTGGAATGCAGTGTGCTGACTTGTGGGGAGGTGTGAACAGTGAAGCTCAGAGTAGAAGTGACAGGGACAGGCGTTTATTTGAAAATTACTTGTAAGCTCTAAATGAACAATTATTATTTTGCTTAATTATTTAAGCAATATTTTGTTTACATTATGTTAACACTCCCACTCATCTCATTAGTGTCCCATTTTCAGTGGTATATCATGCCTGAAAGTAATCTGCTGACATTTATTATTCAAAGGTTATTTTCGTACTGGGTGTGGTGGTGCACGCCTGTAACCCCAGCTGCTTAGGAAACTCTGAGACAAGAGGATTTATAGGTTTGAGGCCAGTCTGGGCAACTGTCTCAGAAGAAAGGGGCTAGAGATGCAGCTTGGCACTAGGGTCCTCACCTGGTGGGCACGAGGCCCAGGGTTCAATCCCCCGTATTCTGGTGTTTTGTTTTGTCTTGCTTTTTTGGTATAGGCTATCGAACTCAGGACCTTGAGCCTGCAAGGCAGGCGAAGTGCCACTGAGCTAAGCCCCCGGCCCTTTTGTTTTGTTTTTTAGCTGGATTTTTTTTTTTTTTTGGTGCCGGGGGATCGAACTAGGATCCTTCCACTTGCGCAGCAGGCGGCGGAACCACTGAGCCAAATCCCCAGCCCCCTTTTGTTTTGTTGTTTGAAGAAAGTGGAAGCTTAGACTTTCTACAGTGATTCTGAGGGGTATGGTTCTCGTAAGAGTCCGTGCAACTTACATAGGAAATATTCAGTGGGACCAAGGCGCTCTGCTGTGCTGCCCTCCAGAGTATGCAGTGTGCACACTCACCAAGCGCGGGCTGTGAGGACACCCCCGTTCCTGTACTTGTTGCATAGTGCTTTGTAGCAGGTCCTGTCAAAGACCACAGAAGCTGTCTGTGTTCAAAGTCTACACGCGACTGGTCATAGGATTGTGTCCTAGGTAAGCAAGTGTGCCAGACGCAGGGCACATTGTCTGGAGTTCTTTTCTGGGGTGCCTTCGTATTGTGGATAAATACTAACACTATAATTTTCAGTCCAGCTTGAAACAGAGAAGTTTTATACCCAGTGGCCTTTTTTACTGCCTTTTATTCAGTATGTAACTCTCTAGCAAGAAAATTCATGATAGGTTTTTTTATGACCATTTCATGATTTCTTACATCACGCCCTACAATGTTGCCTCGAAGATCCGTAACCTCAGATGGCCTGGGTGTCCCCATTTAGTGGAGACCTTGAAATGCTGACTGTCCTGATTGTGCAATGTCGTTTGCCTGTCCGTTCTCCTCAGAGGAGGCCTGTGCCCAGCAGGAGCCCCCCAGTACGCTGGGGCCCAGTCTGTCCTTCAGCACTGGGTGGCTGCTCCTCCACCTGCCCCAGATGCTTTCCGCATGCTCGGGTTGGGAGAAACAGGGCCAAATGCTCCTCCACAGTGCCTAGCGCTGCATTCTGTTTACAGTGAGAATCTAAATCTTGTCGATGTCCTGGCTCTAAGCTTAGATGAAGTATCTTTACAGTAGTGATGTTTGCTCCACCATAATATTTACATTATGTCCATGCACACAAACCCAATCAGGTAATGAACATGTTTATGTGAATAACAGTTTTGATTAAAGCAGAATATGTATGCTGATTTAAATTGAGACTATGTTATCTGTATTCAAATGACTATAAATTATATAGAATCTGACCCTAGAGAATGTATTCTGTTACCAGAAGAACATAACTAAGAATCAAGAACTCTGGTTCCATGCCCTGGTCGTGTTTCTGTCTCACTGTAACTCTGGACAAGTCATTTACCCTGTCCAGGCAGAATTTTCCTAGTCCGTGAAATGTGTCCACTTTGATCTCAAAGATCTTTTTAAAATGTTAAATACTATTCATTATGGAGTAGACTAAATCAGTGTACCACAAGAACTCAAACAGAAAAAAATTCCCTGGACAGTTGAATAAACAATTGTGATTTTTACTCTTGGATAGAAGGGATTTCAGCTCTTTTTAGTTGGTAGCAGAAGCCCAGGCAGAATATGCCCAGTCGCCAGCTTCTTTTGATATTTACATCATGGATTAAATTGGCCAGAAATATATTTTAAAGTTCCTCCCAAATAATTATTTTTATTGTTTAAAATAATCACATGCTTACTGAGTTTCTGAGATTTTGAACAAATAAAAAGTTGGAATACTTTATTTCTGAAACATATACATACATGTTTTCTTTGTCCTTGTTCAAAAGAGAGTATGAGTGACAAAAATATAAAATGAATTGGTAATTGTCTGTTTTTTGTGAAAGTTATTTATAATGTGTTGGACAAGAATGTCATGATTGTATGTTTAACTTTCAAAAATAGCATAGGTAATCATCACTTGTGTGTATTTTAATCAAAGAGTTTTAGGAAAGAAACACTGGATACGTTCAGAAGCTATTACATTTGTAAATGTTCCAAATATAGTTTTTGTTTTTATGACAGTGTTAGAAATATCTTTTCACAATGTCTATATGTAAAAATATGTTTGTGTGTATTAGGTGGAAGAAGGCTTGGGTCTTCTGTCATTATTCATGTGCTAATTTTTGCTCCTTTTACAGTTTGTCCGTATGCTTGTTCTTCATTATTTCAGACTCAAAAATAAATTTATTTTTTTAATGTTCATTTTGTATGCCTTGAAAAAAAAGTTCCGGTATTTAGTTACTCCCTGGAGTCAAAGGGATTATGATTTCACAGTGGGCCAAGGAGGAAAAGAGGTCGTTTACGGAACACAAGGAAACAAAGGCCTCCAAGGGTCAGGGATAAAACAGAAACTAAAATATTTTATTCATTTTAAAATAACTTGAGAGCGCACCGTCAGCGAGAGGCCAGGTAGGAGCGCTCTGCTCTCACACTGACCTGATGACCGCCCACCGGCAGGACCACCCGTGGGAGTGGTCCTCCCTGGGCAGAGGTTTCAGCAGCCACAGTTCGAGCAAAAGAAAAACACAGCAGATGCCCTGAAGAGGCTAAAAGCATGGCCCAGCCTGGTGCCAAGAAAGGCTTGTCAGTGTCTGTTTTCCCTGCTGGGGGAAGAGTCCTGAGCGACCCGCATTTCCCTCCCTTGCAGGGTGCTTCCAAGGGGCCACCTCCCTGCTTCCCAGCCCGGACCCCGAGGTGATTGGCCTGGCTGAGTGGGAGAGGCGGGAACAGGAAGCTGCTAGCTCCTCCCAGGCTGCGGCAGGAAGCGGCCCAGGCTGACCCACACCCTGTGCCTTGCTGCAGGGGGTTTCCTGCATCAAGCACCCCAGGGAAAACAACGGGGAGCTCTGAGCACCCGGCCAGTGGAGGAGGCAAAGCCAGAGTCTGTGCCCCTGGCCAGCCAGTCAGCAAAGACTAGACGAGGTGGGTTTTCTTCATAAAGACAGCAGCAGACTCCAAGAAGCACAAAAACAGCAAGTAAATATGATATGCAAAAGAACACAATTATATGCCAGTAACAGTCCAAAGAAACATCTGTAAGTTACTTGACTAGAAGCTGGCTTCGGGGCACGTGCCTGTAATCCCAGCACTCTGGAGGCTGAGGCAGGAGGATTCCAAGTTCAGTCACAGCCTGGGCAACTCAACGACTGAACAAGATCCTCTCTTAAAAAATAAAAAGGGCTGGGTATGTAGCTCAGTGCAGAGTGGGTTCAATCCCAAGCACCACAAAATAAATAACTTGACCTGGAATTCAGTTGATCAATAATAGATACTGTGAGAGGACGGAGCAGGTGGAGTAGGAGGATCAGAGGTCTCTAGTGAGTCGGAGTAATTGGTAGCTCTAAAGAAATCCCAGCACTGGGGATGTAGCTCAGTGGTAGAGCATTTTCCTAACATGAGAGGCCTGGGAAAAAACGCCGCCGCCACATCTGCCTGTGTCTTCTGCTGTGGTTTGGGGGTTGAATGTCCTCAGGAGCCCCATGTGTTAAAGACTTGGCCACTGGAGAAGTGCTATTCAGAGGAACTTTTAAGAGGTGGGGCCTAGCGGGAGGCCTTGGGGTCACTGGCACGTGCCCTCGAAGGGGACTGGGAAGCTGCCCCTTCCTCTCTGGCTTCCCAGCCACAAGGTGTGCAGTTTTTCTGGGCCACACACTCCCAGCGTGATGTACCACCACGGGTCCAAAAGCCACATGGACTGAACCTCCAAAACTGTGAGCCAAGATAAGCCTTTCCTCTATGAGCCAGGTATTTCATCACATGACGGCAAGCTAGCATATCATTTAAATTATCAATCTATTTCAAGGTAAGGGCTCCAGGATGGCTTAGTTTTAGAAATACATGTGTGAGACAAACATCACGAAGCTATTTGAAGTGAACAGCACTTTATCTGTTACCACTTGCCATATAATAAATAGAAACTTTTAACACTTCTCAGATCCCATTGAGAATCACTAAAATTATATTTTAGCATTTCAGTGGCAAAAACTTCCATCCAGGAAAATAAAAAATTACCATTCTTTTCAAGCAAAGAAGCAAAGAAGTTTTCTCTCCTTCCAACCCGGCCAGTCTCAGCTTCCTGGCCCGTGCCACCTGCTCCTCCACATTCTTCTTGCTCTCTGCATCAAACTCAGGTGGCAGCCTGCCCTGAGGTGATTTCAGGTGCTGGGACAGGGTCCCGTGGGTGGAAAGTCGCTGTATGATGTTTCAGAGCGAATTCAGCGTCGCGGGCCCCTCAGGAGAGGTGAGACCAAAGCACACCGGCAACCAAGCGGGATGGGGCACCTTAACTCACATGGCATCTGCCAGTATCGCAGGTGTGGAGAGCAGGCTGGGCCCCAAGAGAAGGAGAAAGGATTAGCTCAGGGAGGACATCGCCACCTCCCCTCCCATTTAGACTGGTGACACCATAGGCCTTCTGGCTATAGATTCGAACCTGCACTTGTCTTTCCATTGCTCTTAGTTAAGCTCACGGTGAAGTGCTGACTACAAAGAGGATAAACTGGCAGCAACCAGTAGAAACCTGAATTCTGGTTGGGCCCTACAGGCTGGTGGGCAGATGGTGCTTGAGCTCATCTCTGTTCCTGGCAACGTGACTCCAGGTACTGAACTGGCCCCAAACCCTGTGACCAACTGATGCACTAAGTTTTCAGAAAGGTTATAATGAGACTGAGGTAAGGGCAAGAGCCGTTTCAATCCTAAATGCTCCAAAACATTTTGACCCCAAACCAAGACAGACGGGCACCGGTTGGGGTGGGATTCATTGGCACACAAAGATTCCCGCTGCAGAATCAGGAGTTTAGTTCTCACACGTGTGGCGTAAATTTGTCCCCTGCAGTAGTTCAGATGTTGAATGTCTCCCAAGGTCCACCTGTTAAAGGCTCTGTCTGAGAGTGGAGCTGGTGGGGGTGCTGTAGACCCCTAGGATGAGGGGCCTGGTAGGAGGGCCTCAGGTCACTAGGGGCGTGGCCTGTAAGCCACCGACAGCCTGGACCTTCATTTCTGCTTCCTGGTTCGTGATACAAGGGCTTGCTGTGCCCCGCCCCCCCGCTCCCTCCACGATGTGCCACCTTTGCCCAACGCCAAAGGAACAGGCTGCAGAGTCTTGGTCTGGAGATTCCAGAACCGTGAGCCAAAATAACCTTTTTCCTTTCATGTGTTACTTGGTTCAGGTCCTTTATTATAGGAACGTGCAGCTGACTGATACACCTGCAGAGTGCTTGGTGATATTATTCTTAAGACAGCTTCCTTATGTGGTTAGATTATGCTGTTTGTGTGGGTCACCTCTGCCTCAGCTGCACCAGGAGCCTTTCAGAAGTAGCCATTATGGTGTGCAGGCTGTTTCCACACGGCCTTTGGGAGCCACACATCTTAGATTTGAAACTTGACTGTCTGTGATCTCGGGAAAGTAATGAAAACCCTCTGGATTTCTGTTTCTTTGTTAAACAAGGTAGTGATTACCAGTACTCTGGGGGCTGAGCAGAAGGATGGCAAGTTTGAGCCCAGCCTGGGCATCTTTGTGACTTAGTGAGACCCTGTCTCAAAATTTAAGAATAGCCAAGCATGGTAGCCCATGGCTGTATTCCCAGCACTCAGGAGGCTGAGGCAGGAGGATCTCTGTGAATTCAAGGCCAGCCTGAACTACATAGTGAGACGCTGTCTCAAAAAAAAAAAAAATTAAATATATAATAAGGGCTGGGGATGTGACTCAGTCTGAAGGTTCTGGGTTCAATCCCCAGTGTTGTAAATAATAACTTGTAGGTTTGCGGTGAGGATTAAACTTAAGCAGAAGTCACATATGTCCTCAACAAGTTAGGTGGGTAAAACCCTCATTTTAAGAATCGGTCTTAATAGAACGTTGGCTCCAATAACACCCACTGGAAAGCGAGTGGCTGATTTGGGAAGACGCGGTGCTGATGCAGCATGGGGCTCAGTACTGTTATGTCCGTTACCTTTCCTCTCCTTGCTGAGACAACACCGGACACCCAAGGTTAAAGGAGAAAGGGTTTATTTAGCTCACAACTTGTAGAGGTTTCAGTCCACACTCGGGTTGCTCCAGGGCAGTGTGCCACGTAGCAGAGAGGTGTCACACAGGAGAAACAGTTCGTGGCGCCCATAAGGTAGCAAAAGCAACAAGGGGCCTTAACAGTCTTTCTGCCCCTTTTATCTTATTCAGACCCCTTAGGGCGGTCAGCCCTCACCCCCTTCGTCCTACTACCCTGGGACCTAGCACTGCAGCATGAATCACACCCGCTGGATCCAGCCACCTTCTCGATAGTCCCACCTCGTTCGCATGAGGCTTTAGGGGGATGGCTAGCCACTAGCCAAGCAACACACAGCCGCCTCACGGGGTCCACCTGCGTGCGGGCGCAGCGCTGGGCATCGCGCAAAAGCAACTTGTGTGGTAACGTGGAGGCATGAGCTGCAGAACCGCTATTAGGACAAACGCGAGGCTGCCCTGCGGAGCGCGGAGCGGTCCCCTCGTACGGACGCTCAGACCTCACGGACTACACATCTGCCGAGCTCCGCAGCTTTGCCAGGCCCGGAGCTAGGAGCTGGGATACCAAGATAGCTTCCGCTCGCGAACACCAATGGCAAGACACCGGGCCGCTCCCGCCCGCAGCACTGGGACAGAAGGGCCCCCTGCCTGGCCCAGGCTTTTTCCTCTCCGGGACAGAGGACGGGGACACTCGGGGGCTCGGCTCGGGAGGCCTGGCTTCGCCGTTTCTGCTCCCTGTGCCTCTGCCCGCCCCTGCGTTCACTTCACCTTGCAGCTTCTCAAACCTTAACTCCTTCGGCCTCAGGGTCACAAAAGAGGCAGCGGCCTCCCTTCCAGGTCATCCTCAGGGTGTTCGCCTTCGAAACCGGCCTAGGGCCAGGGAATCCCCAGACGGCCTCGGAGGAGCCTGGGTGAGGCCAGTGTGTTCTTTGTGTTCCTGAAATCACTCTGGCTGACAAGCACACCTGGCTGTTCCTAAGCACTAAAACCGCCAGCAGTCAGGAGCAGGGGCACTTCCACCCCACAGTGGGGAAGCACGCCCTCTCCTGGTGACGTTATGAACTATTTCTGACCACTTGAATTTCAAGGGGGCCTTGAGGGTGTGTGTGCGTGTGCGCGTTGGGGCAAAGTACGTCTCCCACGGCTTTGCAGATACGCTGAATGCACTGGCACATCTCTGTCCCCCACCCTCAGCACAGGCGCGCGCGCGTGCACACGCACATCCTCACACTCACGGTGTTACGCGAGAGTACAGCTTAGGGGAAGCATTGGCTGGCAACAACCGTTCAGGTTCCTCCAAGAGAAGTAATGGGATGGTCTGTGACAGCCCAGTGCCGAGCCTCGCGGGAGCCAGACGCTCCCAGGACCCAACCTGGGTGCCCTCGGCCCCGCCTCCGCTGGACCCCGGGGCAGAGGCAGCTGGGCCCCATGCTTTCCCCATCCCCATCCCGCCTGACTGCAGATCCTAAGTGGAGGCCCAGGCCTCCGGGTCACAGGTCTGGGGGACACCGAGGCCTCGCCTGTGACCTTATCCTGGGGCCAGGCTACCAGCCAGCTGCACGAACAAGCTCTTGCGGCAGGGGGCAGGGCTAAGCACGCTGTGCCCAAGGCTGAGCGCCACCCTGGCAGGCGCCTCACTCCTCAGGTCTCTCCTGTGGCCCTCAGGGGACAAGGACGCTCTTCCCACTCAGCCAGGGAGGGCCTGGCTGCTCTGCCCCTCTCCCCACAGGACCCCTTAACCTAGGGCCTCTCACACCTACAGGTGGCCAGGAACCCAGTGGGCCCGAGAATGTGCATTTGTACCGGGTTCCCAAGGCATGCGGGGCCACGGGGCTGGGACCACAGAGGCTGACTGGTGGGATCCGGGCTGAACTCGAGGGGAGGGCCTCTGCCCCCCCGGAACCCTGGGATGGAAGCAGCATTTTGGAGGCTGATTCCCAAGGAGGTAGGTCATGGGCTGGCTGTGCCTGGTCCCTATGGAAACGGACTTGGGGGTTTGGCTCCGGGCTGGTCTCGGTTCAAGTCTTGAGCATGGCCTGGGTGAGCCTGGTTCTGTGCGGTCCTGACGCCTTCCAGCCCCGCTTCGTCATCTGGGCGAGCGGGAGGCTGGGTGTTGTTCGCCCTCTGGCCACCAGGGGACGATGAGAAGCATTTTCCTGTCTTCCGGCGGGTCTTGGGGCCCCGTCCCTGTAACAGGGAGAACACTTTCGCCCCGCTTCTTACCCGCTGTGTGGCTTTGGGCGGGTTACTAACCTTTCTGAGCTCAGTTTCTGATTCAGCCTGGCTTCGCTGGGGCCAAACCCTCACATTTCTAACAAGCCCCCAGATATTCGCTGCTGTGGGCGGCCGGGACAGTGCCGGGGTGACAAGGCTCCCGGCTCGCTCGCAGGGGGAAGAAGGACGACACCGGGCACCCACCGCGGGCCTCGGAACAAGCGCCTGAACTTCTCCCGCCCCGGGCTTCATCCACGCCTTCGCTGGCTTGTTTCCTCCGCACTGCACTCTGGAAGGTAGTAGGGGGAACCGTTACCACCCCCCGCTAGCGGTGCAGAGCCGAGGGCCGCGGGGCGCATGCGCTGTTCGGCACCGCTGTCCGCCTGGAAGGGCAGAGAGGCAGTCCCACCCCAGGCCTTCGCCTCGAAATTACATCTGCGCCCCTGAGCCTCAAGGCCTCCCACGGGGAGCTCGCTCATGCCTTGGGAGCACACACAGCACATTTGGGAGCAGGGAACAGGGGTTTTGTGATCCTAGCATGGTTTGCTGAAACCAGATATTAAGCCGGCAGACTTGGAGGAGAAGGGGAAGGAGAGGAGCAGAGGCTGGCTAGCAAGGCCAGCTGCGTAGTAACCTCAGAGGAATGGTGCGGGTGTGGGGGCAGGTGGGGGTCAGCAGACGCCCACCACCCGTTCCCTTCACCGCCACTGTCCCACCCTGCCCTCCTCTGTCTCGACTCTGCTTTCAGGTCGGTCCCAGAGTTAACACAGAGAGGTTCTGACTTGGGCACCGTTGGACTCTCGGGCACCCAGAAGAAGCCCCGCATTCAGTGGGCGCTCAGTAAATATTTGTGGGTGGATGAATGAGGAGAACCAGCTGGCTGGCACTTGGGGCAGGAGCCTGTCCACTTGGGGTCTCAAATCATTGAATTTTGTAGAAGGTGGACTCTTGGAAGGATGCATGCGTTGCTTCTGAGGCCCCCTCTGGACTTGCTGCAGAAGATGATGGAGACTGCAGACCACCTACCCTGTGCATCTAAACTCAATCATGCAGTTCTCAGAGGGAGACCCCCCTCTTAGACCCTACTTGGTCAGGGTTGCAGCCTGGTACTGGGAGTCTCAACAGCTCTTCGGGTGATTCTACCGTGCAGCCAGGGGTTAGAATTAATCTAACCCAACCCCCTCACATTACAGAAAAGGGAGAGTGTATGCCCGGGATATGCAGTGGGTGTGGCAGACCCCCTGGCCAGGCTTAGAGCCGGCTCTCATATGGAGCAGGCATTCTTTCCTTACAATTGGCCACATCGCATTCAGAGCTGGACCAAAGCCTACGTGACTCACAGGATCACAGGAGCACTGTGGGATGGTGCCTCAGGCTAGTACAGCTTCCACGCCAGCGGCTGCAGCTGAGATCTAAGTCCTGATTTGTGAAGTTGCAGGTCTCCTAAGTGAGATGACACTGCAGCAAGGACTATGTGGCTCCAATCCACATTCCATTCCTAGAGCTACCATTCCTTTGTTTCAGTAGCTTAATAGTTAACCATGACCTACCTTTGGTCTGTTCTACTCCTTTTGCTAGAATGCCTTACCCTCCTTGCCTACAGCTTTGCCTGTCTCAGCTGATATCACCATTGCCACATGCAGCCCCCTACCCTATTCTTACGCATGCTTGTGTAATCAATAAATACCGACCGTGCTGGTTGCTTGGGTTCTCCCCACATGCTTGCCGTGGCCTATCCCAGTTCCCCACTTTCTTTTTAAGTCTTGTTTCTCTGTCTCCTTCGCTTACCGTTGTATTGCCTTTCAGGAGATCGAGACTCTTGGCTGGGGTCTTCAATACAGCCAAGGTTTAGCATTAGATTCTAACCCACCCCTCATGTTATAGAGAAGGGTCAGTGCATGCCCGGGTTATGCAGCTGGTCAGTTGCAGGGCTGAGTCTCAAATCCAGGTTACCCTCTTCGCTCAGAAGGCATCTCCATCATCTGTTCAGGAAATGCATTGAGGGCTCTTGGCTTTGAGGGAAGGAAGTTCTTCCTGAAGTTACATCTATTCAGTGTCTCCTTTTCCTGCCCAGAGTGGATTTAGTTTTAATCCTTTTACACACATGAGCATTGATTTCTTTTTCTTTCTTTTTTTTTTTTTTGTACTGGGGATCAAACTTGGGACCTTGCACTTGAAAGGCAGGCAGCAGAACCACTGAGCTAAATCCCCGGCCCGGTTTCTTTTTTTCATTCTTCTTTCTTCTTTTTTTCTTCCAGTACTGGGGATTGAACTCAGGGCCTTCACATTAAGCTACATCTCCAGTCTTCTTTTATTATTATTATTTTTTTGAGACAGGGTCTCACTAAGTTGCTAAATTGCCATGTTTGTTTTTTTTTTTTTGGTCCTGGTGCTTGAGCTTGGGTGCTTGCTGTTGTACGGGGGTGTGCGGCCCCGCTGAGTTCTCTCTTCGGTTTCTTTGTTCAGTTTCTTGTGGACGTGCCTGGTGCCCTTGTCTGGTCTCCTGTTCTGGTTTTGCTTCTGCGTTTTGTTTTTGCCTTTCGTCTTCTCCCTCGGGCTTCTCTGCCGGGCTTCGCTGCTCCCCTGCTCTGCTTTCCGGTTCTTGGTTTCTTTTCTTTGTCTCTTCTCTCTGGCTCTGTTCTGGGGGTGTTGGCCGGGGGGGCTGGTTCTCTGTGTTCCTTCTCTGTGTTCCTCGGCGCTGTTGGGTGGCCGCCTTGAGTCACGGCTTTTCTGCTTTCATTTTTTTCTTTCCTTTCTTTCAGCCCCTACTAGCCGCTGGTAAAGGCTTTTGATAAAGGTTTTCGCGAGCGGTTATCCTGTGCCTTTATCCTCTCCGTTATTCATCGCAGCCTTTGTTGGGAGCCTGTGTGGGGGGCTTTTGTGTGATTGTTTTTTGTAGTGTCCTGTTGTCCCGTTATCGGCTTGGGCTTTTTTTGTGTGCATTTTTTGCTGCCTGCGCTGTACTCTGAGGAGTTTTTTCTGGCCATTATTCTCACGGATCCTGGCGCGGATTCCGTTGTGCGCTGCGTTGTTGTCTTGTTGGTTTTCTTTTTCTTCTGGTCTCCCTGCTTCTTTGCCCTTTTTCTTCCCTTTTGTTGTGGCTCTGGCTGTGGCGCTGATTCTGTGGTGCCTGGTCGGCTTTCTGGAGGGTGTTAGCCCGCGTGTGACCCTCAGCTGAGTCCTTGTCCGGGTGTCCGTTGGTCGGTCCGGTGCTCCGGACGTGGTGGCTGTGTTGACAGCTGTTTCCCATTGTTTTTTCCTTTGCTTGTTGGGTGCTTTGGACCAATTTTCAAAAGAGGAACCAGACTTTAAGTTGCTGGTGTTGGCCAAGTCTACACTTTGCACTGATTGTACCTTCAAATCACGCTAGATCATTCAGGGGTTCGTCTCCCTAAAAAGTGGGGTCCCGGAGTTGCACACAGGAGCTCTGCCCAAGGCAGAGTTCACAGCTGGGCAGAAGAGGGTAGGAAAATCACCCAGTCCAAGGGGCAGACAGACACTGAATGCCAAACGTGTGCATCTTCCACCATGCAGTTTCATGAGGGAATTTGTCGTCAATACTGAAAAACTAGATAATCTCCCCCAAAACCTAGTTGTCCAAGTTTGTCTTGAGAACTTATAGGTCCAAGAACACTGGTCCTTTGGCCAACAATTGCCCGAAGCTGACAGTGGCCTCCTCAGGGGCCCTGTCCTTTCTATCATGTCTCCACTCAACCCACTTCCTTTGATTCTATTATCTGTGAGTTCAAGGCCACTGAACTACACAGTGAGACCCTGTCTCAAAAGAAAAGAAAAAGATGTGTGGTGGAATTTATTACATTAAAAGACCCCTTGCCATCAATTCTCCCAAAATTCTTCCCCTTGCTTCCCACTTATTCCTTAATTCCTGCTTTTGAAGCAGTTCTAGAAGCCCTCTTTTATGATTGTCTTTATGAGGCGTGATCAAAAATACAGTGAATGCTGCTGACCCTGTCATCCAGCAAGCTTGTAAAAACCTCATGCTGTGTCCTCATCCACCTTATTCATGAGCTCTGGCACTGTGTGACTTCTGGCTCTTCCTTAAATTTGAAATAACCAGGAAAGATAAACATTTTGAATCAATTCAAAGGACATCGACATAGCCACTACAGTACAACTAAAGGCACGCAAGACGACTTTCAGAGCTGCTTCAGAAAGTGACAAGAATAATGGGATAAGTGTGTTGAAAGTGAGGGGATAGATTTTGAGGGAGATTAATGGCAATGTGTTTTTTACTTTAATTTTTCTTTAAAAAATACACATTCACCATATTTTGATCACATTGCATGTAAAATGAGGCTCTCCGTAGTGCCTGTGTTTGTCTGCTGGAGCTGCCACAGCAAAGCCCAGAGTCTGGTGGCTCCCACAACAGACAATGAGCCTCTACCACTCTGCAGACCCAAGATTATGGTCACAGTGCCAGCAAATTCAGCTTTGGGAGAGGCCTGACTTCCCAGCTTGCAGGAAGAGAATCACCTTCCTGCCATGTCCTCTCGTGGCCTTTTCTTGGCATATGCACATGGAGGAGGGAGAGCAGGGAGAAGGGAGAGAAGGAGAGGGAGAGGTTGGATCAGGGCCCCACCCTATGACCTCACTGAACTTTAATTACTTCCGTGTGGTCTACATCTCCAAAGACAGCCACACTGGAGGTTAGGGCTTCAATGTACAAATTTGTGGATGTCATAAACAGTCAGTCTACACAGCACCCATGTCCCGCGTTGCTCTATGAGGACAGTACAAGCATGGAGCAGCATCTAGGGTGTGCTCAGGAAATGTCAGCAGTGATATATGATGTCATGGTGCGGCTTTCTCTTTGCTGTCATCTTCCTGCTAGAAGACATGTTTGTCATGGCATCCATTCCACTTCCCAAAGCACTTATATCTTTGGTGAGGCTTGGGGAAGAACTGGGTAAAGGAGGGAAGGTGTAACTGTCAGCACATTCCTAATGCTCATCCAATCCACACGCTGGGTACTCAGAGTGTCAGGATGGAAGTTGAGCCAGTGTCTCTCAATATGTCCAGGGGGAATGGTCAGTCTCTGAATGTGTTTCTTAGCTACCTTCTCATTGCTGGGACAAAATACCCAACACCCATAAATTAAAGGAAGAACACAATTTGTTTTATTTATTTTAGTTTAGTTTACAATTTGTAGAAGTTTATTTTAGTTCACAATTTGTAGAAGTTTCAGTCCACAGTCAGCTGACTGGAAGGCAGGGCAGCATGGCAGAACAGCATTGCAGAGGGGAAACAGTCCATGGCAGGGCAGACAGAAGGCAGCCACAACCAGCCTTTCTTCCCCTTTCATTGCAGACTACAAGCTACCCGTGCCCAGATGGGACTTGTCTTCAGTAAATCCATTCAGCCACACCCAGAACTAATCAGTGCACTAATCTAGTTATCATGCACCCATAATCCATATTCGCACACCCATGATCCAGCCACCTCTGAAAAGCCACACTTAACAGCACATGACAAACTCTGTGTAAATAGGGAAGGGTGGAGGGAGTGAAGGGTCCACAGGTAATGGGAGAAAAAATAAAGACTGAGATACATCATGTTCAGGTACAAGCACTCAATGATAAATGTAAATGTATTTTATACCTAAAATGTACCAATAAATATATATATAAAAGAAAAAAAAAGAGCACATGAAACTCTGGGAGGGGATCTAGATACAAGCTATAATAATGTGCTTATGGGGATGGTTTGAATGCAGCATGTCCTGTTTCCCTCTGGTTTGAAGTCCTTGTTACATCTTGCCTGTTTTTCCTTTTAGTCTCTATGTGGGAAATTGCCTTAGAAGGGGCCATGTACCCCGATCCTGAAGACTGTTGGTTCCCTAGGTAGTCTCTATTTTCCCCCTAAATCTATGCTCTGCTCTGCTCTGCACCCAGAAGGGGTTGCCCTGGGTGGACTGGGCTCCCAGGGCTCCCTCTCTGCTGTGCACCCTCAGCATGGGGTGGAACAGCTGGGGGTTGCTAGTGCTCAGTGCTTTGCCACCTTTGGTGCTTTGCTCCCCTAATCCTGCTTATTTCTTGGTTATTGTCCTTTTGAAAACACATTTCACTAAACCTTTCCTTGACTTCCTTATTTCCGGCTTGGCCATGCCTGACATGGGAGGGACCTAATTCATGCCTAGTTTTCAGGGGGACAATGGAGAAGTCTGCACCCAGAAAACTCTGCTCAGTAGCCAGGGATGAGAGCCATTCATATAATTTTTGGGAACAATCATTTCATTATTAAATTACGATTAGGACTGTCTAAGGCCCAATGTCACCTTGCCCAAGATCCGGCTATGGTACACAGAAGCACAAGCTGAGGCCTCAGTGATGCTGTGATGCTCAAGGGCAACATTACATCAGCTGAAGACATCTTGGCTCTTTGAGAATCCAGTAGTAATAAAAAAAGAGAAAGGTTTCACCTGGGCAAAGGACAAATTCCTTATTAGCCTGCCACCTTGCCCCACCTACTATTTTAAGAATGTTTTTCTCTTCTTACTGTCCTCTTCAACCTAAAACCCTCATCAGCATAAGATCATGGCTGCCCTGAGTCACTGATACTCACTCCAATTATTGTGTGTGCCCAATAAATAGCGACCAGCTCAGAGTGTCTTGTCTTTTCCCACTGTGGCACTGGCCTCCCAGCCCCCTCTGTACTTTGAAATTCTGACTCTATTAGTCTTTCTTTAGCTCTCACAGCGCCCTCTCTAGACAGATGGGGGGATTGATCCGCCTCGAATGATGGGTGCACATCCATCCTGCTCAGGGAGGAGTATGCCCCTCCAGTCCATGAACATCCAGGGGACAGGTCCTCTGGCATTCACCAGACACATAGGGGCTGCTGAGCAGGTGTGAGAATCCCTTTATAGCAAATGGTTTCCTAGACCATCAGAAAGTCCCTGTGCAATTGGGGTACCATCCCAGTCATGTGCCTCCACGGCAACCACTTTAGGTCTTATCCATTGCTGGGCAGGCCTGTGTCCGCGGGTTCCCATTTTCCTCTGGGACGTGGACACTATTTTGTTCAATGCACTTCATGGAAAGTGCTGGGAAGCCAGAAAGGGAGCTTCCCACACAACCCTGGCTGTCCCCAGGGGCCTGCGCGATTGCTTCTCTCTGTGTGTCATTTCAGAAAACCCC